CTACTGCTCTATTTGTGATTATTTTTCTGCTCTTAACACATTTCTCAATAAAATGCCGATGAATAACGGAACCACAGTATACCTCATTGATAAAAACATTTTGATATTATTTGTTTTCACCGAACTATGTTCAAGATGTTAAGAAAGCTATAATTGAAAGATATCTGGTTGATTTTGTGTATCAACAGCTACCTCTTAGGATGGATATCTTCTGCCACGGAAAGTGAGTTTGGTTTTAACAATGGTACTATTTGGTACCAGAAGTGTAATAAGTAAATGACCATACTTTAACAAGCTTGCATCAAACAAATATCAAATACGTATGTAAAAATCAAGCATAATTTTATCAATGAGCATTTCATCGTTGATAAGAAATTTGCATATGATATGTTTGGATAAAATGATTTCTTTTTTTTTTTAAATATCCAGTCATCATTTTTATTTTTCATAGCAAGGTGCATAATAAGCGACCACTGAAGATTTCAAAAATATACTTCAAAATTGTCTGGTTGTTTTTTGCTTATCAATTGTAAGCCTAACTATTTTTTAGAACAGATATTTTATTCTCTAGCAAGCAGGTTTTAAGATAGCTTCATCTGATTATCAGCGTTAGAAGTGTAATATCTACTATAAGTAAATTGAAGTGTAATATTTACTATAAGTAAGTTAGCACCTGTAACTTCATGTCTGTCCGATAATTTTGATTTTTTAGATAAATGATACGCTTCCGTATTCTGGTAGAATTAATGGTAGTAACATTAATGATGTTAGTACCACAAAATAATTCTGAAACTGACATGATGAAATATCCATATCAAATTCTAGTACAAGGAAGAATGAAATGTCATAATAAAGGAGCTTATGCAGTGCTGATCAATATTTTTGAAAAAGTAAAATGTAAGATTCTCTTTTCATTCGTTTTTGATTTATCAAAATTATTAGAACTCTTCTTACTCTAATATGATCATATATTATCCCTTCACAAATGCCAGCTGATATTTGATAACAATTAATCTCACGTCAGTATTTTGTCCGGTCTTTGTTAGATCAAGAATCTATGGTGTTGTTATGGTTTGGTTAGTATTTTTCTGACATATTTTTAGTTCTATCATCTCAACCCTAATTGGTCATTAGTTGTTTTAGCAATAAATTTTGCTAAGTCTGATTCTGTCAGTGTACCATCAAATTATATTTGAAATTCGCTTCACAAGAAAAAAGAAGCAGAAGAAACAATTTTTATTTTAATTACCAACAAAAATTTGAAATTTATTACTAACAAAAATTAACAGACATAATAATAATTGCAAAAATTTTCAAAAAAAATTAAAAAATGTTTAGTTCAAAAAACTGAATAATTATCGGAATTTACATTCAGAATTTTTTAAGATTTTTAAGATTTTTTTTAATTTTTTTTAAGATATAAGATATGGAAATGTAATAAAAGGTATTTTACGAACTGGCAGCTATTTTCTCAGCGAACGGGATGGTAAATTTTCTGTAGAGGGAAGTCGATATTCTATGGATCATGAGATATATTTAAATATTACACATCACTGCATGCTCAACAATAAACGAAATATCTATAAAGTTAGTTTACACTGTATTATATATTAAACCATTTCATTTTTCATTCATTTTATCACAAAATTTATTCCGAAACTGATAATTTAATACATTGATAAAGGCAGAAAAATTGATACACGGAGTAATTGGAATTAATTTCTAATCCATTGGAATTAATTTATAATTAATTAGAATTAATTTCTAATCCATAAAATTGATAGAACTGAAAAATTTTGATAATAAGCGGATAAAAAGTTTTTTTCATTTTCAACAAATTCGGCAAGAAAATTTTTAAAATAAAGTAATTTACATATAAAGTTTTTAATCCAATACTATTTCAAATAATATTGCTTCGATAATTTTAATAAATCAAAATTGCTTCAAATTGTTTTATAATTTAAATTGCTTCGATAATTTTAATAACTCGAAGTATCACTAATCTTATGATCATATGCCAATTGCAGTAACTGTGTAACATTTCTAAAGAAAATTTTGCTTAAGTAATTATGGCTTCATTCAGTTGCTTAATTCAAGGTTTAATCCAATTGCTTAATATGTGATGAATAAATTTAAAAAGTGGAAATTAATTGCAGAATTGTTTTATGCAAGTGAGTCATGAAATTGAAGGTGATCCGAGAACAGTTCGTTATGAGCTAAATGATATTAATTTGGAATTAATTCAATATCAGTCAGGTAATGTGAAATGTGTTGATTGGCCCTATAAGTATCCAGATTTTATTAAAAAGGATGATCTGTGATACGATTCATTATCCATTCATGCACAGAAGTTGTTTTAATGTTTTTTCCTGAAAATTTTGATTATCATTATTATTGTTAATTTTAACAATTTATCATCATATCATATTAATAATATTTTATATTATTGTTTGGAATTTATTTGAAATTTTAAAGAAGAGAATAAGAAATGAATATAAATGAGCGTGCAATCTCCTAATGATTATGATAATACAATGAATATCTTTACACTTCCACGACAGCCTCTTGATCTCTTTTCTATTCAAGCTAAACACAAACAGATTACTGATTGATCTGATTAACTTTTAATCAGTTAATTCCTCATTTAAGTGATACCAAATACTGTTGCAACAATTTCGACGATATTTTACAACTCATTCCATGCCTTCAAATTATCATTTATTTAAAATTTATTCGAAAATAATGTTTACCAATTTAAAAATAACATTGTTTAACAGATTGAATGAAATTACAAAGGATGCATCGAATTAAGGATTACTGCTGAATTTCTAATCTTTAGAAGATTAAAAGATAGATCAAATGTTTGAAATGAATTTGTTAAAAATATAATGCAAAAAACCTTTTTGATTCGTTTATGCAAATTTTCCGCAGATAGTAAAGCAAAAATGAGAATTCTTAGAAGCTTCCGAATCCATTAGATTTTAATTTGTTTGCAAATATGATATGGCGTTGAGTTAATATAATTATATCGATTTGCAATGAAAATCGGCGAATGGAAAGGGAAAGAGAATAATGGAATAAGAAGGAAGGTGATAATGGTCAGCTAAGGCGGATAGTGGCGATATGGTTCTTCTATTTAAAAAGCATGAAATTACTTTTTATCCATTTTTTTCAATGCCTTTAAAAATAGGACATGCTATGCTATCGTTATTTCTATCGCTTCTGAAATTTTAGATAAAAGGCATATAAAAGCTGTAATATTATGTAAAGTATATTGTTTCTGATCAGTTATTGAAATATCGTAATTGTGATAAAAGCAATAATTATAATGTAATAATTAGTGATTACATTTACTATACTTTTATAGGAATGTAATCAATAATTCTTGCAAAATGAGCAATTTTCAATAATTAATAATAATATAAATTAGAAACTTTTGACGATGATTTATGCATTTTAAGTTATATATGAAAAATTACAATTGCATTTTTTCTTTTAAAAAATGACCACAATACTTTCAAGAAAAAATGGAAATTAATTTTTGACGGTTCCAAAAATTTGCATGTTATTAAAAAATAAACCATCTGATAACATTAATGATGATAGCTTTATCATTATAGCAATAATAATCATTACAACATTAACAAAACTTAAGACAAAAATGGAAGTCGCTCTTATCAACATGATAGCAATGATATAATAAATTTACTTTAGAAAAAGTTAAGTCTAGTAATTTACCTTCTAATAGTTTTCATTAATTTGCATTATTTGTCTTCAAAATTCCTCCCCTTTCTTTTATTACCAGACACTGATAAGCTTACTGATATCACTCTTAAATGAAGTAGTATTGGTAACAGCAATAGCAATAGCAAGCAGCTGATCAGCTGATTGATGTGTTGAATGGGTTGTTCAGCAAGCTTATTTGAAATCGAATCATTTCACTATTCGTCATCTTTAGCATTAAAATTAAAATGTAAATTTCGTCGAAATGTTAGCTCTGTGTTAATATCATTTTAAATCTTCCATCATCTGTCATATCGTTGCTTAGATGATAGGATTCGAAGATTCGGATTCTTAATTTCAGAATCTGAAAGAATTTATGAGACATTTTCAATTTAATAGCTCTGACTTTTTTTTGAAGAATTCAGAAAACAAATTTGAAGTTTTCTTTATTAATTTCAAAAAATTTCACCGAAGTAGATGAAAAATTTGATGAAACAATAAGAAATAGAGCGCATCCCTTAAAGCAACAATTTACAAAGAAACAAAGGATGGAATTCGGGAAAGAAATGGAAGGCATATATAACAAACAATTAAAACATAAAATGTAACAAATCAAAGGTTAATACTGTTAGAGATAAATTTTCTGAAGCAAAATAAGTGATGATGATAATTAAAAAGAAACAAATCCCTGAGCTAAATTAGAAGACAAAGATACACAGAATAAAAGCTGGCACAAATGAATGTATTAATAATTTAATTTGAATTTTAAGTGAACTGTAAAAGCGTAATAAAAATAAAAATAATGATATACTACACGATTAAGAATATATTTATTGATAGGGCACTTTTGCATTTCATTTCGCATCTTCCGTAAATAATCTTTCCCAATTGCGAAATATTTCATGTACAAAAGATCCATTATTATTTAAGCTTATTATTCACCTACTAAATTTATCTTTCAATTTAAATCGAAGAAAATCAAATACATTATTAGAGGTCGTTTTATTCAAAGTTGCAATTTACTTGACTTAATTTAAACCTGATCGCTAATCTCAGTAGAATAAAAGCCATAATTAAAATAATTACATCATCAGTCGAAACAAAATTCATCGCCCTAAAATTAAACATCGTTTACATAACTGAGGACAAGTAAAGAAGAGTGTAGAGATGATGATAACATCGCGGAGGCAAAAAGCATAAACCTGAGGAGATCTGCACAAATGATAAGAGTTAAATTTTAAGGAAACAAGATCATTTTTTTCTCTCTCTCGCAATTATCAACTTTGCGGCAAATTAAACCTTTGCCGAATGGCATGTATCCGATCACCATATTGTTGCATTGCTTGTTGTCGACGAAGTTCCTCTTCCGCAGCTTTTTCTTCATCAAATTGTAAAGTACTGGAACCTGTCATTAGTTCACGATTCAGGATACCACGTAGAATTACACAGACACCATTCAGAATGAATCGGCTTTCAAAAGTTATCTGTAAAAATGGCTTATAATGCTGAAATGGATTATCGACATAGATTTATAGGACATTCTGTAGCCTGAGAAATTTTAAAAGAGTTGTAAATAGATTGTTCCATTCATTGATGAAATCAAAAAACATTCTTAGGACAAAACAGCAAATTAAACTTGATTATTAGAATACTTAGAATACCTTATAGCACAGTAATAAACTTTTTAATTTAAAAATTTAATAAAAATAAAAAATTATTGCACCTCCTCTTGACCAACTGTACATGAAGATAAGGGAAAATCACTGTTATAACCAAACTGCGTAAACGTCTGAAAAAACCACAGAATGATATGATTTGATTGGACTGTATTTCATTTCCAAAATTAATTATAACGTTTTTTATAAAACAAAAGAATTAATTTAATGCTATCAAAAGTAGAAAATTAGTAGTGAGGAAAAATAATGTGCTTGGAATTAAATTTTTTAGCTTTTAAGCTTAATTTAAACTATTAAATTTGTTAATTCCAATCCTCTCTTCAAACTAAAAGATAATTTTTCGAAAAAATTCACATTTTTTTCTAATATTTTAATATTTAAACAGACATAGTTATTTCCACAAATAAAATAAATACACTTCACAATTTATTTGAAAGTAATGATGGTGACAGTCAAATAGAAGTAGTAATGTTGTTGTACTTCAGAAATGAATGAAATTGGTTAGTTCGGTAATTTGAAACTTTATTAACTTACTTCAAAAATATAAAAGAAAAAAACAAACTTCAAAAATAAACAAATGATGACGAATATTTCACATTCATCCCTCTCTATTCTATCATTTTTCTTTACTGTATACAATCATTATAAAACGATGCTTATTCTTCGATAAAAATTTATTTTCTTTAAGCAAACAATGTTTTTGCGGTTGCCATTTTACCTTTTGATTTTTCTTTTCTATTTCCAATACTGTCATAAAATGTACTTTGAACCGAAAAAGGTCGAATTTCCAACGTAATCAATGCACAATTTTATAAATCAATTTTAGGTTTAAGATAATTTATTCGGAAATGAAATTATGCAAACTTCTGGAATGGTAAAAATCATTTAAATATTTTCTCAAATTTTGCTTAAAATAAAAATTCAAAAATAGGATAGTTTCTTCTGGTTTTCAAGCTGAGGCTTAATTTTTTCAACTTAACGTGGAAATTTAAATATCAAATTTTTTCATTAGTATTATCAATCATATGTATCATTGGATTCATAAGCTGGCTTAAAAAATTTGATCAAATTTTGATAGTAAGAAAGTGATATCATTAATAGAAGAATATAACAAATAAAATTGCGAAACGGTAAATAAATTTTAATTTTAAGTAACAGACGAATTTAGAAAATTTGAAATTTTTAGAAATAATGAAAAATAAACAAGAGATTAAAATAAATATTACATTGTTCACATTCTATTCGTTTAAAAAATAAAAGGGAAAAACTAACGATAGGTAAACGAGGTTGTTGTCGATTAGTACAACTTTGTAATAATGCGTTACGTCGTTCCACCGGTGGTGCATGCGGCAATCCGGCAAAAGCTATTTGTGATGGACCAACAAGCTGCCTGATTTCTGAGTCAGTTTCTAGAGAAAATAAAACAATGAGAAAAGCTGGATAGATATTTGATTAAGATTACTTATCAAATTTCAAGAAATTTTGGAAGTTCAATGAATTATCCATGATCAAATAGAATCAATCTATAATAAATCATGATAATTTTATGATAAGCAATGGTATGCTATGAAAACTTGGCATAGGAATAACATGGTCACATAAGGTGCAAGATATTTATAACAATCAAATTAAAGTTACGGAGCAAGTTGATTAAATTAGCTTAGACTGCTCGCTACATTACTGCAACGAGGGCGCGTTTTTCACGATATCATAGTAATAATCTCTACCATAGCTGTTGCTTATGCTGTTCCAGACAATATGGAAAGTGTCATGATACCGTATCCATATTTTCAAATATTTAATATTTATTCATATACCGGAAGAAATTACCGGACAATTAGATGGATTACCGTAGCAAGAAGTGATATTATTAACATACCGAATTTTTGAAGTTGATTATCTACCACGGCGGGCATACAACACCGCATTTGCTGTTGGACAGCAGCCGCAACCATGACCGCATATCGGCCGGCGGCAACAATAGCGGGTAAAATTACGGCTCCGCCCCTACTACCACCAATATCATCAGTGCTATCTTGTCGTACATTTCCATCCTCTTCCTTCTCCTCCTCCTCCCCCTCCTCCGCTTCCTCATTCTTTTGATATGAATGATAAGCATGCTGATATCCGTCATCTTCCCACAATTCACTCATTTTCTTTAGGCTACCAGTAATCAATCGATCGATCAATCGCTTCTCTTCACCCATTCATTCATGTAACCAATCTTAATATTACAAATATTAACATTAAAGATATGAACTGACTGAATATCTAATTTATATTAATCATTCTGTTAACATCAGTGCTCATAAGAACAACGATAATGAGGACATTACTTTATTACTTAATATCATATAAGAGTAAAGTTATATATATACATGCGTTACCATAATAGTAAGAACTATATATTGTGACCTAATTAATTCATACATAATTGTTAGATTAAAAATTTATTATTTTAACGAAAAGAAGTTTGACTCGGCTCGATCTCAATCAAAGAGCAAGGTGATTACAGACAACTGCAATATAAATTTATCATAAACAACAAAATAAATATAAAACAAGCAAACAGTATGAGGAAATGAAATAACAAAGTTATGATGAATCAGCTGATGACTAGTAACGATTCATTGAACGTGTTAATTTCTAAATTACCGTTTTCCTCTTTCCGGTTGCATCTTTTCCGTTTTTTCAATTTTACTACGATTGCATTTTTGAATGCATGTAAGCCTTAAAATTTGAAAATGATTGATTATGAACAGAACGGAGATAATAAATCAGAGAACAATAAATTGGTAAATCAATTAAATATTGCTATTTCCCACATAAAGAAAATATATGTAACAGCAAGGTTTCAATATCTTTTCACATAATATTTTGTTGGCTTTCAAATGTCTAATCTAAATTTTAAGTTTAAAAAATAAAGCTAATCTAAATTTTTAATTTGACCTGATTTTGAACTGCTCTAGCAAAAAAAGGTTAAGTATCTTAGGAATGGGGGAAGGTTACAAACTAATCTCAGAATTCCAGTAATTCTAATTTTAGATTAATAACGAAAAAGATACGCATGAAGTAATTTGCGATACTTCAACAATTCCTTTGCAATCCTTAAGTTACAAATAATATCGAATAGACATCAATTAAAATATGATAGAAAAATGATGAAAAGCAGTATGACATAACAAGAATCATATTATCACCAGATTGTTTGATATGAAAAGTAATTAATTAACTTAAATGTACTTATCTAAAAACTTTTCCTAATATACTTTTATACCTCAATTATGTCTTTCATTTCATCTCACTCTATCATTTTCTATCATTTTGCACTTATTTTATCAATTAAGAAAAAAACATTTTAGATTTGCTTATATCAGTCTTTGTTTATATCAATAATAAGTGCATTTTTTTTATCATTTTCCTATCATTTCGTTTTCTTTCTATCCTAATCAAATCAAAACTAACATTTCTCACTTTTTATACTTTTCTCATTTAATTAGGATTAAAAGCTTAGAAAATTCTTAGAACTATCAGATATGATATATTCTGATTTTATCAGACTGATAAGGATCGCATAATGTTTTCTCTCAACTATTGGAATTCTTTTTTTAAAGGAACACGTTACATTTTAACTTAAAAAGGAAGAAAAATGGTTATAAAAAAATATTGACTGATGTGTAGAAGATAAGACATTAGAATGCATCATTTCATTCCTGTCACTTTTATAAAAAAATTGAAAATAAGAGGGAATCATCTAAATATATCATCTCAAAACAATAACAATTCCCTCTCCAGTATCAGGATAATTTGATAATGATGATATGATTTTTAAATTTCATTCTTTACCAAATGGATATTTATAAGTTAAGTTAATATCTCTAAGTTAATAAGTTTATAACATTTACTTCTCATTATAATCTTTCAGAATCATAATCGTTTTTATTTTCTTTTTTAAATTCATATCGGAACGCGGTAAATATTTCTACTAGTATCCGGTAATAGTGTATTTCTTGGTGTTGTCGTTGATAATTATCAAATAATTGGTGTCACAGCCTATCGATGTATATGTCTGTCACATGCGTCTGTGTATGTATATATATATAATGTGTTTATATGTATGTATGTCGGGATGGTCATGTCTTTGAGTGTATATAGTGGTACGTTGGTCGGTGCCTGTATGTGTCAGTGATTATTGTTTTGAGGGTGCGATAACACCATGTAATAGGAGGTAGGTGGACTCATATCAGAACCATAAATCTCACCTCAAAGTTGAAAGGATCTCGATATCGGACAAACTGACATATAGGTCAATCAGTAGCATTTATCGAGTGAAGAGCAAAATAGGAGAGAGGACAGTTGTGGCCAAAAGAGACGACAAAGTTCATGGCCTGATTAATGGAAAAATTCGAAGATGTGGCTAAAAGAAAGAAATGGAAAATTGTTAGTTTCAAAGGGAGAGAGTTTGGTCTCGACAAAAGAAGACGAATAACCGGTAGCTGATAGGTAGAACAAGGTAATGCATGACTTCTACATATCACGATGACACACACACACACACACACACACACACACACACATACACACACACACACATATACTACACACACAATACACACATTCATCTACTGATAACAATCGAATGCATATTTGTTGAGGAATTTTCGCCAAAAAGACTGTCATATTTGCGAAAAAGATCTTTTAACCGCATTTTTTCCCCAAGAAATTTCTTTGCAAGTTTTCTTTTTTTCTTTTCCCTCAATATTCCATCAATTAATAGCTAATGGATAAAAAATATTTCCGATATTTGATAAAATATCTCAAATTCTCTCTCCTATCCAATAGCTAAATACATTATAATTCATGTGCTAATGTAATAAATCGCTATCCAAATTTCAATGGATACCAAAGAAACCGGATCTTAAGACTAAATGAATTATTGGTGTTAGCATTACAAGAGGAAAATAAAGAAATAGAATCACAACCTGAAGACTTCTCAAATAAAATTTTATTTTAGCATTTTAATTTCATCATTGTCTTCTGATCACAGTTTTCATTCGTCCCTTTCTACAAAAGAAGCGAGAAAAAATGGAAATGAAAGAAATTTCATTTGTTTAAGTTACACATAAACATGTGGTAAGGCATGTGATGATGATATGATAAGGATCTCTGAGGATTATCATTGTCGATTTGCATTCTCAGTGTTGTGGAAACCATTCTAATATTGTCGGCCTTATCATTATCACTTTTTTGTTTTCACTCTTCAACTTTCCAAAGAAGGAATTAATGAATTCAAGTTTATGTTCAGATGAATTTTTACACACTCTTGATTTCCGGAATAATTGTGTGGGTCTGAAACAAGTAACTTTTTTTGTCAATATATGGCCTCAAAACTGCATGCTAATCACCTTCTAGTATAAATCAGATAGAAGACATTTTGTCAAATACTTTCTTGAAGCAGAAGTTCATGAATTTGAATTAATAATATGCTAATAAAGAAAAGGAAAGTCTCATCAATTTAGCAAATTTTTAACGCTGAATTTCTTTTTTATTACTAATTTTGAAATATACGACGAATCACATTATACACAATGCAGATATATAAAATACAACATATCACTCTTGTAATTGCTGAAATCGAAATATATGAATCCTGTATGTTAACACTTAAATTATTACTTCTCTTCAGAACTCCTTCTTTTTGAAAAACACTGCCAAAAATTTTATTATTGTTAGATGCGTCTTTGCATGGCCAACAAAAATTTCAAAACCTCAACAAAGAATTATTCTGGAAAACAACAGTTTAGACCGAAAACTAGTATCGCGGCAATTTGAGCTCTACTCTTCATGTTATTCATGTTATTCTACTCTTTATGTTACTCAACATTTTCTAATGTAATAATTTAATATATTTTTCTCAACTACAGTAACATTTGTCATAAAAATTTATTATTAAATCCTAATTACAGTAACCATCTCTTGTTCACGAAGTTCTTGGAATTGCCAACATATGGATATCGCATTTGGGTTGATGTGAAAATATTTAACTGTTAATAACAGTGATAATCGTGACAATGATGTCAGTAAAATATTGATGATAAACTGGATAATCTAAACAAATGAATGCGCTATGTGTCGGTACAAAGGGTCCATATGGTAATTTATAATCCTTTGATGAAGCGTGTGAACATGATCACGGGTTGCCCGCGAGTATAAGATTTCTACAATAAACATTGCAAAAGAAAAGCAAGCTATGGAAGGCCAAAGGTGAAGCAACTCGCATCCTTTGTGTTGCAACTGTTTCAATTGTTGAGATGTTAAATGCCATGTGTTATAGGATTTCCAATTTTGAATTCTAACTATAATTTTAAATTATTCTGGAGCGAGTTCTGAGACTCGGAAACGTAAATTTATGCGGGTCTCGAGGCTTCCGAGACCTATGGCCTCTTGTTGACAAAAGAAAAGGCTGTATAAATCTTAAGATCACAAGTTCCAGATATTTTGCCTTACATAGGCTGCAGTCATGAAGAGGGTTTTAACGTTTTATCAGTTGGCATTTAAAATTATTAAAGAAACTGAATCTAGTCGTTTACGTGGTCTTGATAATGGTTTCTTGAGAATATTTTAACACTGTATGACTCATAAATATCATATAACGTGCAAAAAGGCTTAGAGCTAAAGAAGCTATTATAGCGTTCTCCGTCAGACTGAAATTAACAATAAGTTTCTAGACAACATGAATATTCTCCTGATAACAAACATAATGCACACCGCATTGTTAATAACGAGTAATGAAAGGCATTTAAAAGGGAACAGAAATAAGAAGATATCAACTTCAGTAGAAACAAAGTGAAGCGTTAACTCATAACTCCAGATTGAGTTTATTACGTAGTATTTACAGTTTAAATCGGAAAATAATCAGATGGTAAACGAAGAAAAAACTTGTTTTAACTCGCTAACTTACTGATACATCCAAAAAAATATTCAATCAAAAAAATGTGGAGTATCACAGTTAAACACCATTTATAACTGTAATGAAACTACAACTTAGAAATAGAATTTATCAGTTTTTCATAAATTATACCAATAATACACCATGTTTTTCGCCTCTTCGGAATACTTGTTAGAACTTCAAAATTTACATAACTACCCTAATCAATTAAAAAAAACCGATATCAGGTCCAGATTTTTAAATGATTGATGTTAGAAAATGCTTAAAGTACTACAGTCATGAACAAACGAACATCATATTTCATATAAAGAAGTTTTCTTTCCTCGGTAACCACTTTTCTGCATTGTCGGTGAGTCTTGCAGATTGATAAATTTTTGCTTTAGCCTTTCTATCCGATGAGTTTGACGCAATTGTCGCTAAAATCAATTTTTCAAATCTCTCCTACATACATAAGAATATATTCGCAAAAAAATGAAACATTCTGCAAAGAGATAAAATACTGACCAACCGATATGCTCGCCAATAAAGCCAGCCATCAACTTCTGGGTCTAAATCTTCCAGTTCTTTTTTCCTTTCCAATTTCAGTTCAAAAAGCCATGTTGGATACTCGGAATCAGGCAAAATTTTCGGATCTTCTCCACCTGTAGTTAAGAAACTGCTAAATTTAACGCACCGATTCTTTTCTCTAACTTTAATTTTAAATTTGCGTGTTAATGTTAAACATTTTGCTAACTAATGCATTAGGTACCTATATAAACAATAAATTCGATATAGAAAACTTCACTGTTTAAACATACCCTCAATAAGGTAGTTTACACAAACATGAGTGCATAACTTCTCGGTATTCAAATCAATGAAACTTTTATCCTCCTTTTCAGCAATAATTTTCGAGCCCACTGTAGCATAATTCCTCGATCTTATAACAAATTCTGAAATGAAAATTTTGACAACTGACCAATCAATCGAACAATGTACTATCTTAAAATTTATCATTAAATATAAGAATAAGTTAACAAGAGAATCAGCAGTATAATAATTTAACTCAGCACAAAAAACTGAGCCAATAGTATAGCAAAAAAAAGATAAAAATCATTGGATTCTTGATCACAGCTAGCCGAATGTAAAACGAACAAAAACATAGGGAGAATCTACATGTATCCCCTTAGTTAAGTGGATGCAGAGAGTTCATGAGTAGAACAAAATTTCGTCATCAGCTCCATGGATCATTCATTATTCATTAAGTCGATTATATGTCTAATATTCGTTCACTAAACCAATAAGATCAAAACGATAATAGTTCTTTTAAGAGCTCTCTTCCCGAATCTTAGAATTTTAAAATCAAATCAAAATAGATATCCTAATTTTATTTATTAAACAAAAAAATCTTTTCGTTAACTAATCAAATAAGCGAGGAATAATCGTAAAGCAATAGTTGCTTTGCACGTGTTTAGACCGCAAATCACTCGGTAGAGCCACAGTTTCCACTAAGTTTCCCATGTAAGAACTATCAACTGCTGATTGTAAACAGAAAAACAAAATCACTTGCCATGAGTAAAAGGTATTATTCCTGATGACCTTGTACATCTTGATGATCTTATGCATCGCGATAACACAACTATCGTTTTACCAAGCATTTTCATCGTACATTCTGCTACTTAAGCCATTGATACAACCATCCTAAAATACTATCAGTTTTCAAAAAAAAAGCTAATTCAGAGTTTTTCTCAATAAAATTAGGCTTGAAATTTCATCCTAATGTCCATCATTATATTACATACTTATAACAGGAATGAAATAAAATCGAAAATCAGCGCGCATCTCATAACCTGAGAATTTTCAATGATCAAGAGAAAGCGTTTTCACACGGTATTTCAACATGCGGCCCAGTTTGACAGTCGTGAAACAAGTCGGTTAGTGTTTGGTCTGATTATCCGGATTTCTTGTAATTCGGTGCTCCACGATTGTTTTCAATGTACTGCGATGATTTTCTAAGCTTGAGAAATATGAATCGAATAAGAATAGTAGAAAATTGATCGCTTGAAATTATTTATAGTAAAAAAATGCACCACAGAGTCTAGTGCATTGAGGACGTAGGATGGATATTGCAACGTGTGTTGTTTGTAGGGTGTACTTTATGCTGTTGTCACCTCATTCATGTTCTGTTTGCCTTATGTAATTCAATTATTTCTAATTCCCCAACTACTGTTTTTAATAGTTGTTTCTCTTATATTGATCATTACTAAATTTGTTTGCCAGAATTGGTAAGATTCCTTTATTGATGACATCCCTTATGGCTCTATCTCGCATTCATCTCTAGATCATATGATCTCACGAACGTCCTAAGAAAATGCTCACTTAGCGTCATATTTATGGTCACAAAATTATCTGTCTATCCGGAATAATTGAGTATTTGTATGTTGTTACGTGAGTTGTCATCTGTTGCTGTATGATCACGGAAATGTAAGTAATTTGATTAAGATTTATCTGGTTAATTCACTTTTTGCTGGCATATTTATTCATTTACTTAACATTTTGCAAATTAATCAAATTTCTGGATTAGTTTTTGATCGCACATATTTGAGTGTAACAGAAATAACAGTTCATCAGTTAGAGTACCTTTGGATACCAAATTATTCGGATTTCAGACAAAACAGAAGAATAGGTAGTGATTCATATATGGCTATCCAACTTTTCATAACGTTCGAATTTATTAGTGGGAAAACTCGCTTTTGATGACTTTCTTGAAATTTATTTGTTTCGGAATATGGAAATTTTTAGGTCTACCACATTATCAATGACGGATGTTGGACAAGTGGTGACGTTGAATATGAGAAATGGTAAATGCATTCAGGGACGAATCAAGTCCGTTGATGCTGACAAACAAATTGTACTTGTAGAGCGACCCTTTTTGTATGTTTTTTATCTCTTCCTTTCTCCTTTTGCTTGAGAATTATCTGAAAGTTTAGCATCAGGAATATCATATCTCGATATCTAGTCAGATCTATTGCATAGAAGTAATACATTTTATTTACAAACATTTTTTCCGTTTGAAAATTTTAATAACAATTTAGAAACCTATCTTTTTGCAGAAATGGTAAGCCAATGGGTGGACATGAAAGAAAGTTCCCAATTAGTTCTATCCTTTCCTTCCGAATTTTGGATGTCAAAACTGAAACGAAGGACAGGAAGGTGAGATTAGGAAACAGTTTATGAAATTAAGATGAAAATAAAGGGAAAACTTGTGAATATAAAATCTATGACAAATTCTATGTATTAGTTTCTAAAAAAATTTTTCTAAATATTTTTTACTTTTAACAATTCAATGAATTGAATAGTTTGGTGAATGCGGAACCAAAGCCAAAAAAATATATTTTTGTTTATCAACATTATCTCTTAAGTTTCGAATTCACTAAGCTGTTCAATTTAAAATAACATATTGAGTAAAAGTTCAAAAAGAAGTTGATTAATCGAAAAATGTTCGTAAGTATCCTCGGCTTGTTTGTTGCAAATAAAGTAACGAGTGGCAAATGCTCTTGTATGTTCAAATGTTTTAAATGCTTTATTAAAATAATTTCAAGTTCCTATCTGTGCCATGTTCCCAAAATTTTAATTAGATGATGTTTCGACAATTTCTGTTTTGGCTTCATTTGAAAATTCTTTCTGTTTTCAAACGAATCGTAGTATTCAGGTCATTTCTGAAACTACTACTGCAGAATCTATTACTCCTAATGGTACTCCAGCTATAAAAGACATCAAAGCACAGCCAACTGAATATCCAGTGAGTGTTCAGAAATCTCTAATTGCATTGCATGCTTCTGGTGACTGTCCATCGAAAACGACAAAGTATTCGGGAGTAGTACATCGAGTAAATTTCGAAAAGGAAACAGTAGATGCCACTACAAGCGCTCACAAAAACAGCAGTAGCACCGATGCCGTCGTGGTTCCTAACGCACTCCATACAAATCAGCAGCAACAGTCACCTTATACTTCTACTTCTGGTTCATCCTGTTCATCGCCAATAACCAAACCATTGTAAGTAGCTTTTTTTTTTATAGAAACTATTTTAATTTAATCGACTGTTTATCATAAATTAACCAGCGCTAAAGATTAAACGAGGTAAATAAGTAACATCTCTTCGAAATCTCTTTACTGGTATTTTGCTCAATATGCTCTATTACCATTAATATCCGTCACCAATTTTTTTCAGAGCAAAATTAAGCCGTAGAACTCACACGACAGGTGGGAGACGTTTTCTTGCAAATAGTGGTGAATCAAAGTTATTGTCATGTGCAGCTGACCCATCACATAAGGGAAGACGAAGTAAGCATGTGCTTGTATATGCGCAAGGTTTGATTCTGAAAGGGTACGCTGTAATACTGTTGTAAGTATAAAGTCTTGTAGAAATTATTAGATCATTTAATTCGGTCAGCTTTTCTTTTTCTCAAATTTTGGTGGAATATTTATTTTAATAAAGTGAATTTTAGACCGTGGACATACTGGAATACCGGAAGCAGATTCTATTGGTCAGAATAATAAAGATAAAAAAACAAACGAAGGTCTTACCAAACCTATTGATTTTGATTTGAATGAAGACTTCGATTTTGAAAAAAATTTGGAGATATTCAGAAATTACGTAAGCTTTATTTGTATTCACATTGACGTATCTGTTTCCCAATTCTTTTCATGAAGTCATGATCACGGCAGTTGTTCACTTACATGATTTAAGACAACAGATCGTTTAATGATTCTTTGAATTGATTCTTGATTATTTTTAAAATAGCTTTCGTTGAAATTTTTTCCGTTGTCATTACTTTTGTGTTTATTATTTGTATTCATTTCTCATAGTTGCCTATGACTTGATGAATACTTTTCTTTCCTATGATGCCAACCAGTTATTGATAAAATAATATAACAGGAAAAAAATGCTGATATTTTCGAGCAAAAGGAAATCTCAGCTCTGGGAACACAATTTGCACAAAAGAATTACGAGCATTTCGAGAATGTCATTTCGGATCCATCGAGAGTTACATCATGGACGACGAAGACACCTGATCAGTTTGTTGCAGTGCGTTTTGAGAAAACAGTAGATGGGCAGCAGATTCCGTTTTTAAAACCCTGTGATAAAGAAAAGTTTTTGCAGGTTACTCCTATTTGTATTGGTCTTTGTTAGATATAATTAATTTTCGAGTTTAAATTCTATTAATCTTTAATTGAACGGTTGTAATGGCATATTTTTCCGAAAGGATGCTTCCAAAACTGATCAAACCATTTTATTTGATTCATCTGTTGATTAATGAAACAATTGTTTTATTTACGTTTATTCCTCTAACACTACCATTTCAGAGAGCGGAACCGTATTTGGGAAGCGATATATTCCATGTAATGATCGCTGATCGACTAATGATGTTTATTTGGAACGTCATTGATAAGTAAGTTTGTTTTTCTTGAACATTTTGATAATACAAACATTATAATAAGAAAACTTGAGATCATATTACACCAAAGGGAAGGAAGAGTATAAGTTCTAGTAAGTAGCAGTTTGCCTATCTTTAATTGTATTTTCTTTCACAGATAAAATATCAAGAGAAAAGCCGTAATGTAAAGGAAAAAATAATTTCGTGCATTTGGAATTAACTAATGGTAGAGATTTTGTGGTGCCATTAACATTTTAAAATTCTAAAAGACGTTCTCAAAACATTACAACTTTAAATTGCAAAGCTATCAGGAATATCCCGGCAAGCAAGTAAAACTTAAAACAGTTCCTCTATAGTTCAAAAACAATAGTTCATAAATTATAGGTTTAAAATAATGGTTAGTCAAATGGTTGTGTTAGACTCAGCAACAGTTAATACTTTCTTAACAACGATGTTTTTGCGCCATGTTTCAAATAGAGCTTGTCAAACATTTGTATATTCATGCTTACTTGGCCAGTATAATTTACCACACGTACTTCAAGTTCATGATGTACAGGAGCTTCCAAAACACGATGTTCAGGTAATTGTTCTTGTTTTTATATCTGTGATTTCTATAAAATTTTTGCTTGGTTTCTTAGAGTATATTTTATTGATGAAACGAAAATTGAGCTATTTTACGTTTGCTTTCAAGGTTTAAAATGAATTTTATTTTCAAATTACCATATAGTAATGCTTGTGAAATTGGAATAAAATGGTCTTTATTTTATAAGCTTAACTACAATTTCTTTATGCTTTCATTAATTGCTGATAAGCTTTGACAAAGAATTAGGTATTGTCCTCCACCACGTAGTATCTGGCTTTCAAAGATATTTTCTTTTTCTTCTTTCAAAAGTGTTGAGCAAAAATTGGAAGTGTAATTGCGCGTATAATTTTCGGATTCCTAGTTGAATTCGTTACAGCTGATCGTCGTTTTGGGTCCCCTGCTTCTGGGAAGTGTCAAGGAATGGATAAAGAATTTGTGGCCATCAACGCATTTGATTTGTATAGAAAAACCTCCAGAGCTTATCGAAAATGAGCATATTTTGATGGTTGGTGTTGGAACTTATAATGGTGACTGTAAGTTTTTTAGGTTTTTTTTAATTATAGAACCAATAACTTTTTTTGGTATCAAAAATGGTTGCAATGAAAATTCAGTCATCTTTATGTTTTATTATAAAAAAAAGTATCAAGTTTGTTTCGACGACTTCATAATTTGTAGAGTTTTAACTTATTCAGTTTCAACTGACTTACTGTACAAGGTCGCAAACATATAATTTATTTACATATTTCATACTACGTGCAGTAAAGTCATGTTTTAAAAGTGTTATTAAATTAATCTCATTCACAGATTAATAAAAGTTACGTTATGTTTATAAAATTTTTGAAACATATAACCATTGCTTATTATTGTAGCCCTAAAACAGAGGAACTCAAATAGTTTGCGTGGTGTCGCAGATATTGGGATACCATTTACCTGGATGGATGCTGATTCTGCTGCATTTCTTTCACGTGCATTTGCCACACAAAATATTCTTTTGTGTTAAAGAAATTGTCGATATGACTGAATTATTTCAAAAATTGTGCTTAATTTTTATATCAAGAGTTTATTACAGATTATAATTGAATTGAGTCATCATATTTTGTGCATTATATTTATATGGATTTCTATCTCAAATTTTACGGTTGTTTTGTATCTCCAACTTCACCTTGTATCCCAGTGTAGTGGTATAATATAAATTAGTTCTTATTAATCATATCAGCTGTGAATTTTTTTTACAGTTATTTTGATTCTAGATTTTTATTTAGCCTTGGACATAATCCCCAGTAGGGAATCGTTCTTGTCGAGATCAAAAATAATATACAGACCAATTGCTGCTGTATCACAATTGGCCTATGGTAATTGTGATTCTCAACTTCCACTGTTTATAAATTCTAACTTCGTCTGAGTTTCATTAGTTCCCTTACATAAGTGTTCTTCTAAGTATTTATATTGCTAGTGTTTGTTATTTTTATTTGTAATGACTATTTTTTCAAAAATAATGAATTGCATGAAAAATTAAAAATTCTTGATAAAACTGTACACTTTTTCGATGAAATTCCTTTTATGGTATATTTTCTGCAAATAAAAAAGCAGTTCAAATTTTTTCTGTCGGATGCAATATTATTGTTTATTTTTCGACTGTATGTTAGATAAATTAAATGCTTCTCATTCCACAGACTTTCGTAATCAGGGAATAGATTTGGGCTGGTAAGTTTGCGGATGATTTATAGGATTGAGGAGAGGAGTCTGATTTGGTTTCCGATGATATCTGGGTGAGCCATAAATTACTGCTTGATTGAATATAATAACTTTATAAAGAGCGATGTTAACCCTAAGATTCTTTAAAATAATGAGATTACTGCAGTTAGGTGGATCCCTGTACACATTGAATATTGCCAGCAATATGTTTTCAGGAATGTACAGATGGAGCATTGAAGATGTCCACTTTTACCTTTTTTTGTAATGAATGTTGCATAAAAGATGACCGCCGGACATTTTTCAATTTTTGCGGCGGAGGCAAACGCCACCGCGACGTAAGTTTCGTTTTTGAAAGATTGTAAAATGAAGCTGATATATAAATTTAATCGAATTTTTCTCACTAATTTTCTCTTTAAGGCCTTGTTCAGAAGTCAGAATTTTCTATATAAATATCACCTTGCAGAAAATTAAAATGTTGAAATTCCAGACCAAGCAATTATTCGTTATGGAAGGTGTTAACACTAAATGGCGAAGATATCTCGTCGTTCTGGGAAATGTTCCTTGGAATTACCGTCTGGATGGTCATTTCATATGTATTTGTTTATATTGTTGTTGCATTGATTTCAATGATTATGTTACGAAATCATCCATGGATGTTTATTTATGCAACTTCTATATTTGGTTAGTTCATTGAATTTCGTTATTCAATTTATTGCGATTTATTGTGATTGCGATTTATTACGATTTTATTGCGATTATTTATTTACAAATTGCGATTCTTTTTCATTCGTATGATCACATTAATGATTTCTGGCTGGGAGTTTAATCCATCCCAGAGCTGGTTATTTTCCACGTGTCCATTCCTCCTAACAAATTTATTCTCAGGTTAAGTCACCCGAAATATGTTATTCTTTTGGATGTTGCACTATTCTTCGATATTCTTCCACTTAAAAGCGGGTGGATCATTCTTGGCAGTGTAGTGTATTTTTTATCATAGTTATATGAATCGCATTCATTTTTTTCAAAACTTCACATGGATTTGTGAAATTACCGTACCAGTTGATAGTTGTTTTGGCAAATTTGATTGGTGAATTGAAATATACATACTACCAGACTGAAAGGTTGTGAGCCACTTTTAGGCATAAAGAGGAACTCTATGGCTTTTATTCATTTTTGATTCATCAATATTCTTTTCGTAAGAATGAATAGTGGAACAAATTATTAAAAATCAATTGAACCACAAGTTACTACTAAACTAATACTAAAAAATGAGGTTTTCCAGATATTCATTGCAGTGTGTCTGATAACAGTTCATCTGCACTATCTGAAGTAGACAAATGAAATTAAGATGCATTTTAAATCCATCCAATAGTTTACTTATTGACAATTAATAATCATATATGGTAAACTGTCTAATATTGATAGACAATATTTCGCCATTAGCTCTAGATATTGATGTAATTTAATGTCTGCTATAAAATTTAGATTATTTAACCGTTCTGATTTGCTCAGAAGTCCATTCATGATTTCAGGCATGGCAATATTAGGCCCTGCAACAGTTGGTGCGCTAACAAGTGCTTCAATAGCGCTAATGTTTTCGTCAGCTGATAAAGCGATTAGTTGCTGGCATTGCATGGTGCTTGGTTCAGCACAAACACTAGCCGTCGTAATTATCAGTTTCTCAAGAATATTAGCTACGCTCTAACGACCACTTCTCTTTTTTGTGAAATGGGTGATATATAATAAATTTGTGGTATGATTTCTTAATGTGGTGTTTTGGTTATGGATACAGCTGCCTGTTTTTTGATCCGAGAAGGGTTTTGCATTGAAATACCTAAATTCCTAGACAACAGTAAAACAATGAAATCTTTTCCATACAGTATAACATAAAGATTTCAATTCATATACATAATATTGGTTTATTTTGAATCTCTGAAATTCTAGAACTTTTCTTGCGAGATTTTTTCCCAGAGTTTAGATGGCAAGTAACTTGAAAAAGATTCAGTTAGTGAGAAGTAGTAAAATTACTTTGTAATCTATCTCTTCTGCCTTCTGCCATTGTTCTAACGAGGAACTGTATCATTAACATCAAAAATAATTGCAAATGTGTGCATAAGTCTTTCCTTACATTTTTTTATGTGAATTATGGATTGCATTACTCTATTTGATGATGAGCTAAATTTTTTTTAGTTTTTATTTTCATTCTCAATTTTTTGCTGAGCTCATTTTATGATAGTCTTATGAATAAAAAGATATAAAATTGAATGAAAATTAAAATAATTGCAAAATGTGTGCATAAGAACATTGGAAAGTTTTTCTAGCTTAAATTGATCTGCTAGTTTATTAATGAAGAATCATGTTCAGAGATTGGAAGTATCCTGAACATGAAATCAGGTTGTTATACTTCCTAAAGCGAAACTCCTAAGTACGTCGCCATTTGGTGCTATTTTCTGTCTTTCGGATTGTATTGCATTAATTTCATCGTTTCTTGATTTTAATTTTTCTCGGCATAGTTCAGGCATGAATATTTTTTGTATTATAATTATAGAACAAATAATTCTGATAAGGAATTAAATCATTAATTTTTGCTGGCAAATAAACTTTTCGATTTTCAAGGTTGAAGTGTGTCAGGAAAGGTATTACTCGAAAAATATTCTATTTATGCATAAATGGGAACTAAGTACGATCTCTATTAAGACATCAGAATAATTGGTTATGAACAACGGATTAAATTGACGCAGCTTTACTTCAAATTAAATCTATATGTAATGCGTTGGGAGATATTAACGGGCATTGATTGGTTCGTGGTAAATCTACAAATTGTCTAGTGTTCAGTTTCTAGGGAAAATTGTTTCGAATTTCTCGGCGCTGTACATAGTCAATTCCTAACAGAAACTACTTAATTTTCTTCATTCTAGATGTTATCAGAATTTTGTTCTGAGTGTGGCACAGTGCTTCCACTACCAAGTGCCGCTCCATCGACCATTACGTGTACTTTCTGTCGAACCCAATGGCATATCAAACGTTGGTGTTTTTTGCAATTAGTGCAATATTAAATTGTCATGACGATAGGCAGTGACATTTTTAGTGCTTCTAGACTGACTATCTGATGTAACGGTAGACGTCTGATTACGGAAGGATTATTGGAGGATATAAAGAATCAAAACTAGTGGATGTGTCGAAAATGAAGTGACTTCCTCACTTAGTTGATTTAAATAAACCCTTAGTCACGTAAATGGTATCTGACATTTTTCATTCTTCCGCAAGATGACCAAAATTGTCCGGCCAACATAAAGTGCCTCACTAATATAGCTCTACCTGGCTAAGGGCGGCTTATAATGTTGTCTGTAGTTTTTTCCTTCTCGCTGCATTAAAAATTTGAGATAAAGCTTCTTTATATTTGCAGCCATCCGAAATAAACTTGTGTATAGGTCCGAGAAAATATATCATAAACGTGTGATGGATGTTAAAGAAGGTGCGTTGGAAAATCCTGTTGTGGATAAAATATGTGATAAATGTGGTCATGGGAAGATGAGCTATGCATGTAGACAAACACGATCTGCTGATGAAGGACAAACAGTATTCTACACGTGTTTGAAATGCAATTATAATATGGTGGAAAATGCATAAAACTTTATATACAGTAACTCGTGTATATACAGTAATACAATGTAAGCAGCAATTTATATATAAAAATAAATTAAATGCATCTGCAAAAGCATTTTATTAAAAACGGCTCAGGAAATTCAGTCCAGCAGAAAGTATATACAGTAATACAATGTAAGCAGCGGAAATTCAGCCCAACAGAAAGTATATACAGTAATACAATGTAAGCTTCCCTTCCTCCCAAACCCCAAAATAATAATTCCTTTATTATCCCAAAATGCAAAGTATTGCTTTAATGGATTAGGGCAATAAGAATAAATGTTGTAAGTTAGAGCTCCAACATCTTCGGATTTTAAAATTTCAACAATCCGAATAAAACCTTGAAATTAATTAGTCGCACTTCTGAGTTATAATCTGATATGACGAATATGACTGCCAATGTCGTAAATACGAAACTAACTGCCAGAATAAAAAAAGTATTATGCCCAAAACAATCGCGATATAGCTACCTATAATCGTTCTCTCATTCGGTAGAAAACATTTGTTGACCTGAATGTCATCGGGCATTACGGTGACAAGAAGAAATGCAGGTTGTGGAATATTACGCCACGAAAATGACGATAATGTCCACTCATACATACTATATGGTGATGGCCACCTGAAATACATACTTAGAGATATCTCTCGAAAAAATTGTTTGACAACACGTGCGCACTAGAGAAAACGCAATAACAGATAGCATTTTTTAAAACGACACGAACTCTTAATCTTTCCAGATGCCCAAAATTTTGAGAAATAAATTTGCAAATCATGCAGGATTTAATGGAGACTGTTGTTGCAAATTAAACCAAATAGATAACCCCAGCTGTTATATGCTAAAATCAAACGGGTAATCTGCTTTGTGTGTAAGGCTTTTCACGGTCGCACATGTGAAGTATGTTCCGTGAGGATGGTTTGATTAAGGAACCCACCAAGTTCGGCAACTATAATGTGCATGACCATCAAAAACAGCACGAGGTTTCAGCTTTTCCAGGATGTAATGGGAAGAAACATTGGAAAGGCAATCAATGCCAGCACGAAAATGGTTCGATTTCATTGATTCCGGAGTTGCGTCATAATCATCTGGACAGTTCGCATCACTTTCCCTAAATTTCAGAAATTACATGAAAACAGACAATTTTTCGAATCACTGAAAATCTATCTGAACAGAATTTGTTCTGGGAAAGATTTGTAATTTCAAATTAATAATCTGGAAGAAATCCTCATTTGAAAATGAATGATATTAGTAAAAACAATAAGCCGGTTTAATACTACAAAGATGACATATGGTGATAAAAACAGAACAAGGAAATATCTCACACAAGGAAAGCTGGCATAACTTTGTCAATCCATCTTTTGATAGATTATAATGGATTTGAAGAAACAAGTTTAAATCTCATTGAAATTAACCTGTACAGTGGGATATGAAGTAGCAGAATAGGTCTTGAGTGTGTGTTACACATTGTTACATTTTCGGTGCAATCAAAACTGCGACTCAACTCCTCAATTTGACGTTCGGCAGCGATGCAGAGGGAACAGCCATCACGTTCAACCGTCATCGAATTTAGCATTATAAAATGATTCCCATTGATAACAATGTGATCCGCAAATGATCGTGAAAAAGATTCCGAGAGAAACTGGAGTCGTTCTGGATTGATCCTAATAGAATGAAGCTTTTGAAATTTTTGTGCTTGGAAACTTCATAAAATTTGGAAGCTTTGAATTTTTCAAATATGAAGGATTCAGAAAAACGACATTTCCTAATCTACAACAGCACAAAATTGGAAAAATTCCCAATTCATTCTGTTCCATTTGTTTCGGTTATTTTATTACTATTGGCAAGCTAACACATATTTCTATCGGGTTTTAAGCTACAAGTATCCTCTAACATTATCTCTGCCTAGCACAAATCCAACCTATGTCATTAATTACTAATACCACAAATATATCATTGATTACTAACAGCACAAAAAACAAATTAAATTCAAAAGAATCGGACAACTGATAGAAAGTTGGTAATTGATCGAAAAACTGAATCACAATTTCAGCTTTAAAAATTTTGTATAATGCAAATTTTTTAAGTTTTGAAAAGCTCAAAATTAAAACAATCTAATCATATTATGAAGCTTACTGATCATGAAATCCAATATCATGATTGCCCAGAACACATTGCCTTTCGACATCTCTGGGTACATAAAAAAGTTCATTGAAGCGATTTACATAATTCACAAGCTCCTTCTGACTACTTATGGTACCCTCATCAAACAAATCACCTGAAATCATTCCAAATCATCCCAAATTTTGCTGTTTTTTTGTAAACTTTCTTTTTTACTGAAAATTGCCAGTACAAAGTAATTTCAATGTCAAAAAAATAGAAATATGAAAAACAACAAACAGGAACATATTTGCTCAAAATTGATCAAGCTGTATACATCTCAAACTCCAAAAAAACCGACATTGACGTATACTTCTGATGATACCGCTGTTTATGTAAGCTAATAAAACTTATTATTTCCTTTTGAATGTACATTAAAGACCGAATATTTATTTTGAACATATATCTTCAGAATATGAATATATATTTAAACAAATCTAAAAAGAAAACGGCATGTGGACGCATTATTGATATAGCTGATTGAAATGACCGGTACATTTGCCATTCCCTGAAAAACATGAAAAACAAATCCAAACATTCATTCATTAATAATCGCTCACTCTTCTCTGTAGTCCAATTATAAACATCTAAAGTATGTTTCAATGAACGAGAAGTATTGGGAAAGTTATATGAATGACTCTAATGGAATCAAATGTTGCTTACACTTAAAATAATTATTACTTCGATTATCCAATTAAATTTTATGTTAATTTCCATATATTACTTTTATCCCATGTATAGTCATTAGAATTTCAATTAAATAATTAATCTCTTATCTTTTTACGTGTCTAAATATTTCTAGTTTTACAAACTTTTATATAATGATGCCGCTTTTATATTTCCTTAACGGAACTTTTACCTTAATACGTATAATTTTGCGCTCAAACAACTATATGGAATGCTTCGTTAACTCTATTCTTTACAGAAAGAATAAAAAACAAGAATTGGAAAGCAAACCGCCTCAACTTGTCGAACCAATGTCCTCGATAGGGTCCGAGAAGATGAATATCAGTCAACATCATTATCCTCGTCTCCTCTTTTTGTTGCTCTTTGCGCGATGGTAGCAAAGGCCATGAACATGTCATATAGATTGTTATATAATAAGTCAAATATTCGTTGTAAAGGAAAACAAGAAGGATGACCGACGTAAAGTAACACAGTGCCCCATCACAGCTATACATCACGCATTTCCGCGCACCTCCCAACCCTTCCTTGGATTTCGTCGACGAATTTTTACGCAGTCATCGCTGTTAAATATAATAGCAATTGTTTCATTAGGAAATGGAACGTTTCATTAGAAAGTTTGTATTGACGGAGAGGTAATTAAATTGTCTCCTAGAAGTGATTATTTGTATTTCAAATATTGAATTTGTGCGGTAAACTTAAGAGTAATTAATGTATTTCATCTTTCCCTTTCATTTGCTAGAACAATAAGGGTAATGTATTCCGTTTGGTAGATCTATTTAAGAAGTAAATCTAAGAATAACATTTCGTTAAAATAAGACATTATTGGTTGACAGTATAGTTTATTTCTTACGTAAATAATTAATGAAACGCTCATTTTCTTCATTGAACAAAACATTAAAGAAAGAACAAAATGATAATTCTCAAGGATTATAAGTGAATAAAGAAATTACGTCATTTGTTTGTGTTATAATTTAGTTAACGCATTGATGTTTCACAAAGCACTCATAAGAGGATTGAATTTTTTTTTAACCTTTGATCTCATTTAATTTCAAAATTTCGTTTTATACTCGTTGCCATCTGATTTGAATAATTTTCGGAACAGAGATGCATTATTTTTCTTACTTAGCTTCAGATCTTCGTGCATGTTTATCTACATATGTCTCTATAATACATCGATTTGCATTCAACCTTTACAAAAGACAAATAATATTTCATATTCGTTTACTAATTGTAATCGGTCATAATTCACGTATAATATCTTTAAAATTCAATCTCTTGATTTCTATATATTCTTAATTTATAGATGTTTTGAATTTTTGAAGCGAATAATTGAGCAAAATATGGCTCAGATCGGTAGAAGTTAATGAGTTATGATACTCTTTGAACTAGTGAGTGAATAAAAACAAATTATGATGCGAACCGTTAATTATTTAATTCCAATTAGCAAAAGCTTAAGAAGTTCTAGATTTTAGATTAAGATGTTTGAATGTAATTCTGTTATGTAACTATAATTTATACTTTTGTGTTTCCATATCTTTTTTTCGTTATTTTAATCAGAAAGAAATTATTTTTATGAATAATTTTCCATTACCAGCTTCTATTTATCGTCAACTTTGAAAGCTTCTCAATTCCTTCTTCCATTTTTTCCTAATTATTCACAATTGGATATTGTGAAAATCTTTTCCTCTAGCGATGACATAAGGCATCAATTTTCATCGTAAATTCAGAAAGAATTTGACACATATATTCGTTCCTTCTGACTCTCTGTTTACTTCACATTAATCGGAGTTCATTCATTTTACACAGTTTGAGAGTTGAATGTATAACAATGAAAATGAAAATTTCCGGCATACAATGAAGAATAATTAGGAAACAAAATATACCAACTGCCGTAATCACTGCATCATGTAGTTGAGCATCAATGTAACAATGAACTCAAACACCGATTGCTTACTGAATTGTCATTTAACTTTTAATATCCCTTACAATTAACTAATTTTTTGCCACTCGAATTCCCCGTAAGCGGATTGCCTTATCTGAAAGTGCGTCAAGGCCGTACTGAAAAAAGGATATTAAGGGTCCAGCCAATAAAAGGTTCGAAAGAGTTGACAACTTTCCGAGATGTTACCAACTTTAGGGGAACTATCGATAGATGATGTTTACGACCAGCAACATTTTTTCCAAGCCGACGAATCCGAATCAGCGTACTTTCACATTTGAAATGATATGCTACATTAAAATTTGGAAAAGTTTGAATGATTCAGAATTGTAGTTCTTCAGAAAATTTCACTGAGAAATGCCAGATAAATGGCATGAATTAAATGCTTCTGCATCATTACTAAGTATGAAACTGTTAGTTTTCAACACGCTGGTAATATGATGCCATATTGAGCATTACATTGCTAATATGTTGAATTATCAGCACTGTTATCA